TTGACATAATACTTAATTTTAGTAATAACCATGGATTATTACTAAAATTATGCTATTATCAGATTTCTTAACTAAATCTCAGCATTCTAAACACAATTTTTTACGCTATATATATATATATATATACATATATATATATTATATTGTATTAAATTTACATACATTTATATATAACTTTTATATTATACACAATTATTTTAAATCATAATAGTTATAACTTTCTTTTCCACATTTTTTGAGCAAAATTATTAAAAAAATTAATAAAAAACTTTAATAATAATTTTATATTATTAGAAATAAATACCATTGTATTAACTAACTAACGTAATTAAAACAAAAAAAAATAAAGCATGCAAAGTTCTTAAAGTTAAAATCCTTTTTATATACTAAGGTAAATATTTAATAAACCTAAGGTAAATATTAATAAATTTTAAATTACAACTTCTAATGAATGCGAGTATTTGATATAATTTGTTAAATTTGATTTATAATATACGATATTCTTTACTAATTTAAATTAGTTTACATTGGACGAAACGAATATTCAATAAATAACATCTCCATTTTTGTAAATTTCTATTAATAGAATTTTAACTTTCGTATAATTTATTTTTCTTATAAAAAGTACAATAATAAAATTTTGTAACCTTTTATGACTGTTTCTTTTTTTGAATTGAAGAGTTATGAAGAGTTAAGATTAATATTTATAAATTATGGAACAATAAAAGTTTGTTGAATTCAATAACATAAATGGAACTCGTATGTTATTGTGTGATACTAAATGTTAATTAAGCGTATAATACTAGCATTTTCAAAAAATCTATAATCAGTTTTTAAGAAAATAAAATATTATGAATAAGAGCAAAAAAATTATGTTCATAAATATTATTTTGTTAATATTAGAATGTTTTATGAAATAATAAATTCAATGTTGTTATCTTACTTTAAATCTCTAAATATGTTTTATAATATTATAGAATTAAGCGTATTATACGTAGGCATTTAAATACTGAATTAAAAATTATGTTAAAACATAAAATGTGATTTTTCCTAAAGAAATTAATGAAAATATCTCCTTATTACAATTTCAGTAAATTTAAAAATAAGATATCAATATTGTCAAAGGGATATCTTACAGTTTTAATTCTTAAGGAAAAGAAACTTTACCTAAAAAAAACTTACAGCGTTTTAATTGTAAACATAGCTATTAAAATTTTCGTAAGCCTTCCTTATTTTCATTGCGTAATATGAAGAATGTACTATCATTTAATATTGACATGTAAACTAAATAGCGTACTGCCGTAATGTATGAATAAAGAAAGAAAAAACGAATGACTCAAAATTCCAACATTTACTAGAGCCTTAAACCTACTAAATTTAGCCTGACCTTATAACATAATTATGTATTGAAATTTAATTTATGTTTCATTTTTTTTTTAATTATTTAATGAAATAGTTTATTTAAGCTTAATTTTTACACATATGTATTTATAAAATATACTTGATTTGAAAAAAAATAATGCATGATCAATATACTGTTTTTATAAAAAAAATTATTTTAGAGCGCTTAAAAATGTTCACAGTATGTAAATTAATAAAAAAAAAAATTTGATATTAAAGAAATGTATAAAAAATTTGATTAAAGCAAAGATAAAATATGGAAAGATGATTGTTTTATCATAGAAGTGGACAGGATAGGATTGAATACGCTGTAAACATTCTTTTATGCTTTTACATATTTTTCATATTTTTGGCTTTTGGATTTTATTTTTAATAAATCTATTTTTCTATGCGCTTATGTTATAATTTAAATAAGTTTCTTTTTATATTTCAGCTTTTACTTTTTATGTGTTTATTTATAAAAATACTTATGTATAAGAAATTAAAAATTTAGCACGAAAAACATATTGCTTATGGGTCAACACTTTGTTAAACAATTCCTTAAATTGATTTGCGGGGGTTAATTATTGTCACACTTTAAAATTTTCTCTAATAAAAAATAAATGTTTCATTTTTATGTCGATATGGTTCTTTAAATTCTAAAGTGGAATTACTTTTAATAATTTTATGGTTATGGTTTTATATGAATTTATGGCAAAGCTAATTAACATATTTAGTTCGCAATAACATTAGACAGTTTTACTTAAAATTCATTTGAAAATGAGCTTTATACATTTTTAGTTATAATTTTATAAAATTTGAAAAATATGTAATATTTAAAATAATGGCAAAGCCGGGTTGGGAATATTTTATTAAATAAGTTCGGTTTGTTGAATTGATATTTTAATATTAATTATTTTGTGTTGTATTATCTGATTTCGTGTTAAATTTTTAGTTTCACTATGATTTAAAGAAGGAAAAAATAGAAAAAAAATACATAATAAAATGAATACATAATTAAAGGAAATTGAATAACCTTATAATTATGTACTAATTAATTTTCCTCTAGTATGAATTTATGAGTATGTAAAAATATTTCATTTTTAGGTAATTTACTTTTGAATTTTAACATATCGTACAAATACATTAATTTCATATTTTTTTTTATTATAATATAATATATATTTAATATTAATATATATTTAAATAACTCTATGAACTCATTTTATATTATAGCATTAAATTACTCTATATTTACATTTTTCAATCAATTTCAATTAAATTTAAATTATTGTTTTGTAAGTTTAGTTTTTTGATAATTGATAAATATAATTGGAATGCAATTAAATGTAGCAGAAATTATTTTAATATTAATTTAAAATTTGACTATAAAATACAATTAGATTTTTGCAATGATTTATTTTTTAAATCTTTTATTTGAGTTGATGGTTTTTTATGCCAATATTTCTTGTAATCCATCCGAATTCTTGAATTTTCTTGAAATTTCATTGATGGCTTTTAATTTGACTGATGTAATACGACTGATTTTATTTCAATTGTATTATTCCGTATTTTTTCGGTAACTTTGGTTAAATACATAGTTGTATTCTGCTCGAATTCTTGAATTTTCATGAAACTTCATTTGATGGATGTAAAAAAATGGTTCAATTTCATTTTTATTTTAGTGTTCATTTTAGTTTCCGGTTGAATTATTTTTATATTTGTACCTTATTTGTATTTATTTAAAATATTATTTTCTTTAAGGTTTTCAATTACAAGGCACCATCTTCATAGAGTTATTTAAAAATAATCTTTTACTAAAAATAGATAAATGTTATATTTTTGATATTTTTATCTCCTAATTTTTAAAATAATTAAATCAATTTTATTCTTTTCTTTTACTTACGAACTAAATTTCATGTTACTTTGTATAAATTGTTTACAGCTATATGTAAATACTTATATGAAAGTGGATGAAATTATGTAAATGAAAATTGTTAAAAAAAAAAAAGAAAAGAGAGAAAGGTTATGATTAATGAAATTGCAAAATTTTACTAAATCTGTACAATTCTTGAATACATAATTATTAAAATGAGAAATATAATAATCATCAAAAATGAAGAAATATTATGGGATTAAGATTGATATTTTTTGATCTTTTTTTTTATTCTTTTTTTATTGTATGTAAGAATTAAATTTTGCAACTTACGTTTTCTCTGATTTAATTGAAGTTTTTGTTATAAAAATATTAACCGGTTTACTTGTTTTATTATTTCCAATTGGAATTGGAATCAAATCAGACTCAAAAACTGTTGTCCAGTCATTGTCTGCTTAATAAATTATTTTTTAAATCAGAAAGAGAGTATGTTAAATGATAATAAAATTTAAAATCATTTAATAATTTTCATTAAAAAAAATCATAATGAAAACAAAAACAAATTGTTTTTTTTTTTACGAATTTTTTAGACTTTTTTTGTTTTTAGAAATAAAAAACGGTTTGTTTCGTAAGGAATTCCTATTTGATTTTTATATTTCTATTTTTTCTTTAAATATAAAGGATTTTTTGCTTTTGTGGATATTTTTAGTGCATATTTAGTTACAAACTGCTTAAGCAATTGATAACAAATCAAAAATTTTCTTAAAATATTTCGTTTAAAAGTAGCTCTCGTTCTGATTTTTTATGAAATTCTCAATTTCTGATTTTAATTATTTACTTATTTGCTTTATTTTTTATTTATTGTTCAAAGTAAATTCTGGCTGTTTCCCAGTATGTCAAAGATTTGACGATTTTGTTAATCACATTATTCGTTTGATTTTGCAAATGACAATTATCAAATTTAAAATCATATATAAAAATCACTAATTCATCAATCTTTAAAGAAATGCAAAAACAAAAACTAAAATAATAATAAGTATATTGGAATTTATGATGCCTAATCATGTTGCATTGCACATGTCATAAATGTGAATGTTCATATGACAGTTGCGCGTATTTGACATACTGGGAAACGGCCTACCTATAAGTATTCTGTACATAAATGAATTTTCTAAATTCATTAATCAAAATTTTATTACGACATTTAATAAAAAAAAACAATGCCTTACGTCTAAGTTTATTTGTTTGTACAAGTTTTTTTTTTTCTTCATTTTTTTTATTTTTGTGGTGCACATATGAAAACATGTTGGGAAGGTGTCTCTTTAAAATTCGAAATGAAATTTTTATACTTAAGGAACTAAAATAAAAGTAAAATAATTTCGTGTTTTTTTTATTCTTTTTTTTTTTTTGGGATTTATACAGATTTAACGTATATACTAAAAAGAAAAATTAGAGAAATAACTTAAAAAAAGTTTAAATAAAATTTTATTCTTTAAATAAATATTATTTTAATAATTAAATACTTATTTATAGTGTATACCAAACTAAGATAATTGAAACTAATTAAAAAATTTTTAATAAAATAAAATAGAAAAAAATATTAAATATAAAAAACTAAACCCAAAAACATACTAAATTATTTTCATAATAAAATAAACAAAAAAAAATTAATGAAAATAATTGAAATTTAAAAAATAAAAAATAAAATTAAAAAAATAAATTAAAAAAACAAAAGAATTCTTACCAGTATCTAGTTGGGTCATACTATCGATACCAAGTACACGCATTCCAGCTTTAACCTCTTCCAACTGAGTTTCTGTAGTTTGAAAAGTATCCGAAACAAATTCGGAATCAATCGGTTGAAGCCGCTTTGTTTTTATATTGCTATCATCATCAACATCATCAATGACGTCATTGCATAAATTTTTATTTTTCATTTCATTTTCAGTCTCATTTGTTAAATGTGAGCGTTTCTCCGAATTGGAATTTGTTTCGGTTTTTAAATTTTTTACTTTTTGTTTTTTTTTTTATTGTTTTTAATATTTTTTTTTAGTTTGTTTTTTGGTGTTTTAAATTTAAAATTTTGTATATTTTTTTTTTTGCAGAAAATTTTTGGTAACCATGTGTAATTTTTTTTGTTCGTGTATAAAATTAAAATAAAACAAAAATAAAATAAAAATAAAATAAAAAAAAATAAAAAAAATTATAAACAAATTAAATAATTAAAAAATAAATTTTACTAAATTTATAATAAAAAAATTAAAAAAAAAATCTTTTTTAAATCAGAAAAATTTTTTCCAAAATATTTTAAAACATTCAAAGGTATTCCAGTTCGAATCTTCCGGGACAAATCAAACTTTTTGCTAATATTTATTTGCTAAAATATTAGAACAATTCGATTTGATCATATAATAATATCGATGATCGACATAATCGGTATATTTATTTATTTCTTTTTATTTTATGCTTGTCTACACTATTGATTTAGAAAATTGCCATAAAATAGAAATTCAGTTAGCTATAAATAACCAAAAACGTTTTTATTGTTTTTATTTTTTAAGGGTGAAGTCACAATTAAGAAATTTAGCTACATATATTCAGTATAAAACGAATATAGAGAAAATGGGTCTCCATTTTCGTGCCTACATTCCCGAAGTATAAACACAAAAAAACGATAGAGAAAAATTAATGATTATTCTTTTGACTAAATTTAATTTTATGAAGTTATAACCAGACCAGGTGCGTTTTAAGTTGAATTGAAACTCCCCACTATTGATAGGTCTGACGACGACTTGAGTTACCTATTTGCTTGTAGCTGAAAGAATAATATGATTATCCCAAGAAAAATGAGATAACACAAAATGTTAAATTATTTTTTTAATAGTTTACTAATGCAATAGAACACGGATGTATCAAACACGCTTACAGGACAAACTGGCTTAGAAGAACATAAATGCAATACTTGGTTGCTATGATTTCCCGAAAAAAAATGAATGTGCATATATTTGTGTTCGGCTGTATTGTAACAGAAATTTTTTTTAATTGACTTGCCAATTATAATATGCACATACATATATGTTATACAGATTTCAAAATAAAAATCAAGTGTTAAGTTTTTCATTGATATCAAACACGTGTATATTTTAATTAAAAAAATTTTTCAGATTATTTTTTTTTTATTTCAAATTAAAATAAAAAATACAAAACTAAGGAAACAAGGTAATATAAAATTTTTATTATATTATTTATTAAAAAAACAAAAGACCATCTATTTTCTTACTTGAGGAAATGATTTCCACTTTTTCTATATTCTTATTAGAATATGTTCATTTTTAGTGTTGAAAAAACAGAAAAAAAATTCTTTCATCAATCTAAAACAAACTGAAGTCAATGCGATTTTTGAACATTATTTAATTCAATTTAATTAATGCACGTTGAGAGGAGGAATAAAACAAAAATTCCAAGTTATATTATATGTAAAAAAACAAAGAAATACAAGTACAATAAATGTGCGCAATGTGAAAACCTTTTATATAATTATTAGATTACTCAAAAGAATTATAGATGGTCGTTGAAATAAAAACAAAAAAAAAACAATTATACAATATTGCAATATGATATAAGATAAGACATATGTAATATAAAAATAGAAAAACAGACAAAGAAAGACAGAAGGATAACGAATATTTTTTTTATTATAAAATCTTTTAGTTTTTTAGTAAATCTATATTATTTTTTTAATAAAAATAAATTTTTTTCATAGAAATGAAATGATGGATTCTTCTGGTTTTTTTTTTTAGCTTACTAAATTTTTTTGGATGAATGTTACACTGCTAAATTCTGAAATATTTTTTTATTTAATATTAATGCTTGATTTTTTAAGTTTCAAAGTTGCATTTTACTGCGAGTACATAAGGATGAAAATAAATACTCTCTATTACAAAAAAAAAAAATGAAATTCTTGAAATGAATTCCAATATGAAAAAACTAAAAAAAAATTAACTATGATTAAGTTTAAAAATGAAGGTCAATTATTGGCATATGAGAGGATCTTATATTTATAAATAAATTTTTATATTATTATTTGCTTTCTTTTTTTAAATTGGAAGCAATGGCAAAACTAATTTAAATTTTATATTTTTAAAAGAAAATTCTCATCAGATGTCACTATAAAAAATACGAGTACAATATAAGAATGGTGAAGAATATAATCGAATGAAAATAAAAATCGAATGATCATTAATGAAATCGATTATAGAAAGAAATGACTAATTTAATGCTTTTTTTTTATAATTTTCTCTTTGCTAGTTTCAAAAAAAAAATATCGTTTTTTATGTAAAAACAAAAATTCTTTTTTTTTCCTTTAAATTTCAATTAATTTTGTGAATTCGCATGTACAAATTTGTTTTATTTTTATATGGTTTACGTTTACATGTAAATATAAAAGTATATAATAAAACCAAAAAGAGAAAAAAAAACGTAACAAGTATATATTATTATGTATATGTTATCATATATATTCAAAAATTATATAATATGCATATATATATATATTAATATATGTAATTACATATTCCATACAAATACGAGAAGTATTCGTTTAAAGAAGGAACATGAATATTTTGTATTTTCAATTTAACGTAATATATTATGTAATTAATAAATAATATGTTTATACGCACATACATAAATTGGTATTCATGTAAAGTATATATGCATATATATATCTTTCAAATATATGTATATATATGTGAAATATTACCATTTAAATACGTACATACACATATATTATTTATATATGCTATTAAAATCCATAGTTTAACTTATTCATTTAAAAAAATAAATTAAAAATAAAAATTAAAATATAGTGATAATTAAATGATATAGTATAGTGATTAAAATGAAAATTATTAATATTTTCATTAATATAAAATTATTAATATTTCGTCTCACTAAATTTTGATTTCACGCGAATTCATGTGTCAAATTTAAGAACCGACACAAATAGATATCAGTTTGTTTTTTAATATTTTATAAAATCATCATAATCTTGAATTTTCAAATAGATCGATAAAATATTCCAACTTAAATTGAAGTACATAACATATATAAATATGGAATGATTATTTAAACATTTAAGTTTTTAAATTAAAAAAAAGAGAAAACTACATTGCAAATTGTGAATATTCAAAGGATTTCATTTTGAAGTATTTTTTGGTAAACTTATAAAATTTAGCGCTATAATTATTTAACATTGTTTTTTAAACGTTGTAAACGATGCTGAGAAATCGATATAAATAAACGATTAAGTCGTAGAATTATATTCCAATTAAAAAAAAAATTATATTTCGGAAAAATTATCAACCATTGAAAAAAAAAAATTTTTTTGAGGTATAAACTAGTTAACCTTATATCTTTATACCTTTTAAAGTAATGATTCAACAATAATTATCATATCTTTTTGTATGACGTTATCCTTTGGATTTTAATAACAATTAAAATATATTGTTTTTTTTTATTATTATTATTTATATATGACAAAGTAAACATATACATAAATGTTACTTTTGATTGTATATATTAGGTATACATATAATTTCCAAAATATTACATTTATATTTATATAAATACATAATACATAACGTATATATATATATATATATATATATATATATATATATATATATATATATATATATATATATACCATAATATAGGCTTGTACCGATTTGAAAGCGATATATAACAATAACATTCTTTTTGAACACCTATAAATACTCTAACAATTTTACTTTAAATGAATTATACTTAGTATTATCGAGGGCACATATATATGTATTTATATATATATTTCTGTATATATTTATATATAAACATAAATATATAAATATACATATACGTATATACATATATATGTAGAGTAGAATTTAGTTTATTTTAGAAAGAAAAAGTATATATTTTAATTTACTTTTGATCTCATAAAAGAATATTTATTATATTGTAGTATTTATTTTTTTTTTGAATGAAGAAATTAAAATATTGAAATATGAAATTACTGAACCAATAAAATATAAGAAAATGTAGAACATTTTTTTAGAAATATTTTAAGAAAATTAATTTTATTTTTTTTTTCTTTAAAGAAATTTCAATACATTTTATCACAAAATAATTCACAATAAAATGAGTGCGCTTATTGTGCAGCGCTACTACCGTTTACTACAAATATTTATGGTATTGTATTTATAATACTTAATTGAACTTGATTTTAATGTTTTACGTTTCAAAAATGCATATACTATAATATTATAATTGTTGTTTTCCTTACAATCTCGCTTAATCAATTGTAGAAAATATTGACTATTACATAGTTTTTTCGGCTATTTTAAATCGAAAATAATTCATTGTAAAATTTTAAATTACAGGAAGAAGGGCGCCACAAATGCATAACGAGATATTGAATAATTTTGTTAATTGAGAATTCAAATAAAAAATTCTATACTTACTAAAAGGAATAATCGTATAGAACAGCAAAATATTGTGCGTTTGAAGAAATAAAATTGAAATAAAAAATATATTATGACACGAAATTGAAATTTTTACTTACTTATAAAGATATTCAATTAAATTTTTAATTGAAATTTAATATTTAGAAAATGTAATTTTCAAAAGTTGATAATATTATTTCCGGTTATTTTTTATGTTATTCAAAATTCATGTAACATGTAATACGGTTGAAACATTTTTATGAATTATCCGGAGGGCGAATTATAATGTGATAAATTTTTAATGTGATAAACAAAAAATATAAAGGATTTTATATAATAAATAAAAAATATTATATAAAACATGAATTGAAAATTTGTTTTGTTTACTTATTGCAGAGTATACTATATGTATATAATACCTATATATAGATATTCTTAAAAGATACCTATAACAAAAATTATTGTGTGTTATTTATAATAATATAGAATTTTAGGAAAGTTAAGAAAGAAACAATTAAATTCACTATAAATAAAATAAATAATGAACAACAAAATTTGCACTTAAAGTTAACGTTTAAATTTTTTTTTGTTTTAACAAATACAATTTATTGAAAAATATTTGTTTGGCTTTTTTTTTGATTAACAAAAAATAAATTTCCAGTAACAAAAATTAGTAAAAATTTAAAAAGCATATATAAAAAAATTTTATTTAATTTTTGTATTTTTTTTTGTTTATTAACTATTTTGATTCGAATTTAAAATATGAATTAAATTAAGAGTAGGAAATTAAAAGAGATAAACAACAAAACAAAAAATAAATATTTTTAAATTTGTGATTTATTTTTTTTCACAAAAACCAAAAAAAAAATATTTGAATCTTTCTTAAAGGTTATTTTTTTATTTAATATATATTGCTTTTTTAAATTTAAAATTTTTCTTAACATAAAAATAAAAAAATTGGTTGTTTTTAGTTTCTTTTTTAAAAGAACATTTTATTCAAATCAAGGTTAACTTTTCACTTACCGTCCTCACTTGAGGCTTGTCCTAGCCCTCCATCATTACCCAATGTTCCTAAATCAGCTGCTTGACAAATTAGTGATACACGGTAAAAGTAATTTCTCCAAAATTGTTCTTCAGTAATTCTAGGAAAATAAAATAAAGTGGATATATGATAAATTTACAGGTAAAACATGAAATATAAGTATTTGAGAATTTTCACATAAAAAATTCAATATATTAAATAAATTTTATTTAAATATTGGTTATTTGTTATTTTACATTACATTCCCTGATTTGTTACATATAAAATACAAAAACATAATAATTAAGTTTTTATAAAATTTCTTACATTTTAGGTACAAGTTCAAAACGCATTTTTTCCAAAGCTGGATCTTCCGCCATTATTAAAGTGGCAGTAGGATATGCTGTTTCATAACTGAATTCAAAATCAACACCTGCTGGCGGTGCTCGAACAAAGTTACGTCGATCTTGTGATAATGCAAATATTTCTTCTTTAACTTTTTCTGAACTAGAACGTCCAACCCATGGTAGAGTACCTTCACCAGGTTTCTGTTGACTTTTAATGAATGCATCTTGTTCTTTATTAAATGTATCCAAAATTGGCTAAAAATATTATAATAATAATTGTTATATATTTATAATACATATTAAAAAAAAATGTGATTTAAAAAAGTTTATAAAATTTAAAGTTTTTCTTGACAGTAAGGGGGTGAGTAAATTAGTTCACAGGAATAGGTTGTAGCGCAATATAGAGCTGAACCGAAATTCATCATCTATTCAAGACCATTTTACGTTATCTAAGATGACATTCTACTCGAGGTACTTATACAAAATCCGATTAAGTAAGGCAAGCAACCTGCTTGCAGGGTAACAGTGATAGAATAACAGTGGTAGAATCAAAGGTAAAAACCAGGAACGATTAAGGAATAAACTTAGAAACAAAATAAGAAACTGAATAGTATGAAAATCGGATGCTTGAAAATTATACTTCTTTCTGCAAAGGAGGTTAAGAAACCTTAATCATTTATACAACATTTACTCTTTTTTTTGGATTCTGGTAATGCACATATATCTATATTATGATTGAGCAAATGTAGGTTCTATCTTCAGCAAATGTTAGAACGGATCACAACCTGGTTGCAATGAAAATTTGTGCAAAACGCCCAAACAGGCTACAAGAGACCCGAAAATAGTTGAAAAATACATCACCGAATCGTTTGCAAATTCATCTACAAAACATCCATAGGAAACCCGCTCGCAGCAAAAATTGAAAGAAATAATATTAATGAGCAAGGAACAATAATGGAACAAACCTAAAAGAAATATACTCGAAGAATAGAATTTTTAATAAGAATAATTTTATAAGTAAGAATAATTTTGCGATTTTTACAATAATGTAGTTATAGAAAACATCAAAGCAAACAACTATGAAATATATCAAGGTGGAACGTTCTCGTTTACAACTGTTATAATGAAAATTAATGTTAATAAGTTAAAAAAATATAAACGCGAAACGCCTCGGGTATAGGCTAAATCTCAAATGAAATGATAAAGAATGGCGGAGAGCAACTTCAAAAAGATATAAATCTGTTCAATAAAATCTTAGTGTAGCAGCAAGTTTTAAAAGGCTGAAAAACTATAGATAGATGAATTATTTTATTAAGCACCATGCAGAAATTATAACAATGTCCCAAATACAGTAGAAGAGAGCGAAATTGTAGAAGTTTGTGCTGTATCATATTCAATTAAGCACTTATAAGGTCAATTGTGTTCTAATACAATGTTATTAAAATTCCTATTATAAGATTTATAAACGTGGCACTGACCAACTTTTTGTAAATTTTAACAAACCTTTAACAAATCGCATTGAAAGTTGACAAATAGATAACAACATATACTCGTGTTCTTGTCAATTACAACTCATCACTGTATGTACTTTTATTGAATGTACTTAATATATAAATAAAAACATACTATACATACAAATATTTTGAAAATAGAATGTACCAAGCATAGGTGTATTTCTGTTAGCAAAAAAAGAAATCTTCTTATTATTATAATAAATATAACCGCATTAATATCCTGTAGACATTTTTGTTAAAGCTATTCTTATTCCTTGTCTAAGAGCTAACCTATTAAATTATTCAGAAGGCATATAGAGACTAATAAGTGTAGAAACTTTTTTCTCCCTACATATTCTTAATTCTATATGCTTTTTTATAGTTGTTTTTATCTTTTGTTTTTCTTAAAATCTTTAACATAATATACAATACGCATATACATACTTATGTGTCTTTGCTTATATATATGAGAACATTTAGAGGACGTTTTAATAAAACACAATAGATTTGAATAGAAAAAGTGAGAGCAAACATAAAAAAAAAGGAAAAAAAAGGTGTTCAAATAACCTCGAAGAATAGAAAAGATCATTTTCTGTATATCTTATTATTTAGGATCAAATAAATTCTTTATATATATTTATATTAAACAGTTGAGATGAGATACATTATTAAATATATAACCATATACAATGTATTATACATAATCGTGTATATTTGCGTATATAGAAAAATATATGCATATATTATTAATAAATCTTTGATGACGTTAGTCGTAAACAAATATTATAAAATTAAAATAAGATACAAAATGAAATTTAATTCGTTTCGAGTATAAAAGAAAATATTATACTTTTTTTAGCTTTTAACTTTATTTTTTGTTTTAAAAAAATTAAGTTTAAAATTTGAGTTTTTTTAATATAAATTAAATTTTTATATTTAAGTTGGGTATTACATTTTATATGATAAAGAAATTTTATGAAAATAAAAAAGAATTTTTGATGAAAAAGAGGAAGAAAAATATTAAAAAAGATTTTCAAGGTCTTAAGAATCTTTTTATAATTCGACTTTTTATAAAAAGTATTTAGTAAGGATGAAAAATTAAGATTCTACTTTAGGATTAAAAATTCTTCTTTTTTTTTCCTATATGTATATATATACATTAGTTTGAGAGAAAAAATTTACGGAATTTGCACGTAATGTGTAAAAAATGTACAAGTATTTATGTATGTTATTACACATCACTTTTTCAAAAGTACATAAATGTGAATGTTTATGAATATTTCATAAAAAATTTTTAACCGGAATGAAGAAAATTAAACCCAAAGTTTGCAAAACATCATCCGGTTTGTGTAGTTTTTGGTCTACTAAATAATAAAAATGATCTGTTGAAATTCTGCTATTTATTTCATAAATTTAATAATTTCGTGTCCTTTTTGCGTTGACAGTATTTATAAATTGTTTTTTAACCAAAATAATTAGTTTAAAGTTCACATTTTTCCCTTTATAATTTGGAAAGGGAGAGCGAGAAGGGTATACCAAAAAATTCCTTTCTAGTATTTTTATCTTGAATTTTGTAGTTCGAATTTTTTAAGATAATCAATTTTTAGTTTTGTAATACATCAAATATTCAATTCAAAACTAAAAATATTGTTTATGATTAATATTGCGAAATCGAATTTTGTAGTCTTTAAAAATTCCCTTCTTGTGAAATAAATTGTGTACCAATTTTTAAAAATTATTGGAAAATTATTCTAAATGTATTAAAAAAATAAAAGCACTTTAAAATATTGTGACATTAAATTAATTGTTAAGTAGAAAAATGTAAAATTACGGCAATCATTCATTAGATATATTAATTATTCTGTTTTTTTATTGATGACAATGTAAACAGCAAAGTGAAACTAATTAGTTATCTTCCACAGAAACGTGACCAATTAATGAAAATAGAAGAAAAATTGTGAAAATTCTGAAAATTGTTAAGTTAAAATTATCGTTATCATAAATTTTCTGACTTTTTTTTTAACTACATGTACTTAAATTTAAAATAAGTTGATTGAATGTAAATGAAGTGTTTTCTTTCAAGGATCTTAAAATTTAGGTATGTTTTTTTAACTAATTCAAGTTTTTGGCGTAATTTATTATTTCAACATAAAAATTTGAAGTGATTTCAAGTTCACTATAGTAATAATTTATTTCTCAGTAATTTTTTCTAAAAAAGCAGTCATATCGGCAATATAAATAAGCTAAAAATATGAAAAAAATAAAACTTTAGTGCTTAAAACCTAAAAATTTTACTTACAGCAGCTTTTGCAGTTTCTTTAACCTTAGAACCAAGCTTAGCAGCAGATGAATATAAGAATGATCCGAAATGTTTGGCACCTTCTGTTACTTTTGTTGTCACTAAAAATATAATTTACATATTTGAAATTTAGTTTTTTAATTCAGATTCTTTTAATTTTCAAAAAATATCAAATATTATATAAGTATAATATACTAAATTTATAATTTTTCCAATTTTTAAATTTATGTTCATATACGCAAAAAGAAAAAGGAAAAATTGAAACCTAAATCTATAATATCCAAGACAAACCTTTCTTTTTTGATTTAAACCTGCATCATGTACAAATTTGCAAATTCAATATGAATATATAAACAGTAAACACATACATATATATTAATATATAATAAAATAAAAATAAGGATATCTTATTTACCAGTTTTATAAATATTCAATTTTAAAAAAAATTTACGTGACCGTAGCCACATTGCATATTTTTTAAATATTTGTTCAAATTTCAAGACCTTAAACCTATGTTTTCATCATTCAAAAAAGATAATTTGACTCTTAGTAGAAATTTAAGTTCTGGAATTCAACCTTCGTGAAAAAAATTCTTATTAGATGTAAAAGTAAATTTGTTAATTGTTTCACTATGGATATGGTGATTGAGAAGAGATAGACGATATCATCGTCCTAGAGCAGTGTTGGGTATGTTTTTGTGCCAGTATAAAACTAGGGCGCATGCTGCGTATGAAGTTAGCATTAGTTTAAAAGTTGCAAATTAATGAAAAAAAATATAAAGCTATGCTCATATTTTTTTTAAATGATAAAAATATGAATGGCAAAAAGGGCTGCAGGGTGTAGAAGACCAAAAAAAACATTATTTGTAGAGGGCAAATTATTGACTTTACGTTGCAAACGGAATAATTTGACATAATTTTTTCATTTTATGGAACACATTTGCGACAAATAAAGTGCAAAACAACTCCATACCGTATCTCTTTTGATTTAACAACAAAAAACATTTTTCAAAGTGTCCTGAGTTTTATGAACATTACTGTATGATACAAAATTTCAAGAAGATTTAAGGATAAAAGTCTAGTAGTTGGAACCTGATTTTATTTTGCTAAAAATTGACACGTGAAATTTGTTACGATTGCAATATCTTCCTTATTTTGCATGCAATGAGGTCGATAAATACAAACAAAACGACATTTTCTTAAAGAAAAATTTGTATTTCTTATTAAAGTGTATTTTATTGAAATTCACTCATATATATGTCCATACATATGTATGTATGTTTACTTTTTGTATATTATGCATAAAGAAATAATATTACATATTGAAAATATATAAAGTATAAAAAATTCTCAAAATAAATGGTAGAAAGTTGAATATTTTTAAAATTTCATCTACAAATTCATAGCACATTCGTTCAATTAAATTCGATATTGAATATCCTTCGAAAAAAACAACTGGCATGTGTTTTCAAATAAATACAAGAATTTACATTTTTCCTTTTTTCTTTGTATTTTGTATATAAAACAACTTATAATATAAAATAATAGAAAAAAGAATAAAAAAAAAATCAGCAGTTTTCTCCCTTTTCATATAAAATTAATTTTGAATGCTGACATAAAAGTAATTTTTTTTTTCCTTTTCATAAGAAATAATATATTTCATATATGTATGTTCGCATGTATGCATTTGAATATGAGAGTGTGTAAACGTACTTGTTTTATATAAAATATTTTATATACATACATATATATATGAACATAATATTATTGTTTATTGTAAATACAATCTTAAATCACACGTCAACATGACAAGGACATAACTAAATCTATACAATTTTTCTTGCCATACTTCCTTTGTGTTTCTTTTTTTATATGTTAGAACATTATTTTTAATTTTTATTTTAGGTTTTGCTATAACATTAAAACTATTTTTGTATATGGACAGTGATAAGAAACAATTTTAAAGGGTCATTATTGACTAAATGCTACCTTTATGATGTCCAAATGATAGTCGTATTTATTAATTATTATCCAACAATATACACACAAATATTTTTGTTTCATTATACAAACGTACCTAATAAGCACACATATCAGCCTAACATACATTCATGAAATAATTAAACTTAATTTTTATTACGGGTACGCACCATGTTTGCATGTATTTTTTTGTAAATTGGGAGCTAATAAAATTGACTTAAATGAGGTTATAAATAGAGAGTGGTTTTCTTTTTTTCCAATAATGTTTTTGTGATTTTTTCAATATTTCATCTGACAGTTCATTTATAATATGTATATGAACTGTAAGACTCTTTTAAGAGAATTTGAAGATGTGTGACATATTTTAATAGGTTCTAAAATGCGAGGCAGATAGAATTTTAAATATTTATAAAAAATATATGTAAATAAAATTATAAATTTAACATTTGAAAAGGATGACATTTGTTTATTTCAGTCATTTTTAAATTGGTAACATATTAGTGAATAGTGTCTGTGATTTGGAAGTCGTCTTGAAAATTAAATATGAGATAAAAATTTTTACAATATTTACAATTTGTTAATTGCAGAATAACTTGTAGCAATAAAATAATTTTAGAATTAAGAAAATTTTTTGGGAAAGAATGAGTTGCGAACGTTTTTTCAAATAATATTAGTCTTTAATATTTCAAAACGTTAATTTTTTTACACGTACAATTCAAACATTTAATTTATGTATGTACATAATGTACGAATAAAAGTTTTTCGAGATTCGTTTAAAAAATTGTTGCGGCAAAAAACAAAAATAAATTATTCACGTTCATTTTTCTTTTTAATTTGATTTTTTTGGAAAATTTTTCAAACATAAAAAACAAATAAGGTTTGATTAAAAAACTTCATGAAAACGAAACTTTAAGAAAACATTGTTTTTTTTTTTAAATGTTTGCAATTAAAATATTTGTAAATTGTAAGAAAATTTAACATTACTTTCAAACTTACCATGACCAATTTTGCCTTCTTCTCCTAATGCTTCATCTCCAGATGCTGTATGAGAGTCCGCACCTTCTGTGGCACTATTAAATATAATTAAAAAAAAAACATATTAAAAAACAATAAAATAAATTCTGAAAATTGATTCATAAAATAAAAATCGGAATGTAAAGGAAATTAATAATTATATAGTTGATTAACTTGAAAAATGTTCGTAGCAGGCAAATTACATTCTGAACATATACCATAGTTACAAAGTTGTCACTTTTTTTGACAGTTTAAGATCAAAACAAAATATTTTTTGAAGTATAAAAAACTTGACAGTTTAAATAGATAAAATTTTAGAAATATTAATGAATATTAAGGAAAAGTAATTTTCTTTTAAATGTTTAATGAAATTACCTTACAGCATAATGTATGATAAAGACAATGTCGTAAAGCTGATGATAACAATATAATTCCTCTTATAGAGAAGCATATATTTTTTTAAATAAATGCATACAAATGAAATAATAATAAATAACCTACATATATTTAATACTTCTTTATATTAATGTTAATAAAAGTGACAACATTATATTTATTAACCTTTTGCGTATACTTCATATTGATTTTACAATAATTAAATGTGAAAATAGTTATAGATTCTGAATTAATTAGTGAAGAAATGTTGAAATGGATTTTGGAATTTTGGATATATTAAGGCATATTTAATAATTTTTTACGTCTTTTATTTAACTAAGAATCTATAACAATTATTTTTTTACTTTTTTAAAGCTTTAAATTTTAACAAAATCTTTGAAAACTTTAAAGTATAATACTGGTTTCATTTTCGTGGTAATTGAAAATGTCACAAATGACTTCATGTTTTCTATAAAATATTTCTGTGAGATGAAACAAAAGGTTAATATATGTACATATATGTACGTCTAAATAAAAGTTTCCAGTTTTATTATTATTTTTATTTAGATTTTGTAGCTTGCAGATGATAACATATTCCATAACATGCATTAAATGCACATTGACATATTTAATTATATTATTTAATTGTTACATAGACATCATACATTTATATAGGTTTTTCATTATTATTTAAAATTTTCTTCGTAATTTTACGCAAAAAACAAAAACCACATATAAATAAAAATCAAAAAACTTAAAAATATTTATATACATATATATAATTACTAATAAAAACGAACTAAAAATTTGAATATGATACTTAAGAGAAACTATTTAAATTGATTTTAAGTTTTATTCGATATTTTTTCAGAAATTTTTCTTAAAAATATTTCCTAAATTTTAAAGAAGTTGGAGTAATCATATACATTCGTATTAAGAAAATATTAAAAAAAATGGCGTTATTTTTAATTAACTATTAAATTTTGATTTTTCTTCTATTGATTATGAACGAATCTTTTGTTAATTGCAGTTCAAAAAACGAATCTCTTTAAACACATTAATTGAAATTAATAGTTAAACATTTCTCCTAACTTCTCTTCACTCATTATTATTTCAATCGTCAAGCAATTCATTTACTTTAGTATTTACGTCACTTAAGTTATAATATGCACTAAAAAAAATCTTGTAAAATTACTACAATAATACTAGGAATATGAATCCGTAAATTTATTCGCTAGATATAAGTAAACTGCGAAATTCCTCTCAAATTAAGTAAAATTAAATTACTATAGTGTGTACATTGCATTTATTGTAGTAAGTACGAGTAATCGTAATCAGCAATTTCCAACCGATTTTTTACAGTGTGTATGTATCTTAATTAATCTAAATTAAATTATTTTTATATTCAATTTTGTTCAAGATTATTTTTTAATTGTTAATATATACTTAAGATTTTGATGAGTAAGCTTATAAATATGTTAAGAAATATTGGGGCCTTTACATACATATATAATTCTATAGTATTTTGATATTGTATAATAAAATAAAGTTCTTGACAATTAAAAATCAAAATACAAACTATATTAAAAACTATATTAGCGAATAATAATAAATAATAAAAGCGAATTTAATAATGGGTCTATTTGCGAGATCTGAAAAAAGGTCGGCGGCACATAAAAATTTGTCATGACGTATAAATTTATTTTAAATTTTAAGATCATTTAATGGCCTATTGCTACTATTTTCTTGAACCCACCTTTTCACTAAATGTAATTAGTAAATCACATTTTGAAAATAGTTGTCTTGCACTTCTCCAGCTGGGAGATAAACTAAACAATTTAGTTAAAAGTTTGACATAGGAAACTTAGTGTTAAATGTGATCGGTAATAATGAAAGTCGTAGCGAAAATTTTTCCCAAATTCACTAAAATTACCTATTTCGTATACCAATGGATTAAAAAATGTAACTGTAAGTACATTATGAATAGTCATACTAATCCGGAGATATACATTACGCAAATATATTTTGTAAAATTATTCATGTCCAATTAAATGCTAATTAAAACTCATTTCGTTTGTTCTGAAGCTTTTAAAAGCAAATCTAAGGCATATGATATAATATGTATCTTGTATTATTTACAAATTTAATAATGCATAACAAAAATATTGTGTTTATAACTTTTATATTATAAAAAAACTCACCTTTACCATACCTCACTATATTGATTATTATTATTTTTTTATGCTTTATCGTGTTTAACATTACATAATGTTATTTTTATTATTTATATTACTTTATATATTGTTGTTATTTTTACTATTATTGCTGTTATAATAACAGATTATAGTGCATTTTATAAACCATTTTAAATTAATGTAATAACATTTTAACAAGTACAAACTTATAATAATATGTTAGATATAAACATGCATACTTAAAAATTGGAATAGCGCATTAATCCTCGTAAAATTGTCATCAGAATTAATAAAAATAATTTTTTGATCAATGTATTTTAAAATACATATACTTTTAAAGTTACGAAAAATAAATAAAAGTTGAATTTATTAATTTTAAATTGTGTGTCGAAGAATTCGAATTCATTTTAGAAATTAGAAATTTGAAAATTAAATATTATAAAATGTTATATCGCAGTCATATTGAATATCTATAATATTCATATGTAGTTCGATCTTCAGCAATAGATGTCGCTTATTAGATCCCGGTTTATGATAGTTTAAATCAGTTAGAATTCAGGTGAATTACAAAATTTAACGTCAAGTTGAATAATGGTACAATTGAAATTGTATTGTTGAATTGATCTAATGAATATTATTTTTTTAGAAATTTATTACATTATTTCATTAAAAAAAGGAAACAGTTGCTTGCTTATAGAAATACAAATCGAAAAATGTTGACGCTGGTAACAATACATAGTTAATACATTTGCTTTCTTATTGGACACGAAAATTTAATTTTTCTTAATGATAAGTATTAAATTACCCGGAAAATGGCCGATACTATTAATACGGTCTTTTTTCATTGTTTCGAAAAAAATGTATGTATTTACAAATACCTTGAAAAAAATTTCATGCAATTTTCATGCTATCACAATTTTTTGTTTTTGAAAATTTTTTAAAAATTACATATTCTAAAAAGCAATTTAACAAGTATACTAGCGATACAAATACAAAAATATAGGCTTATAATGCAAACATTTTTATACTACGTTACATACTATAAAGCAATTTTATATAAAAAAAAAAAACAAGAATCAGTGTCAAATAAAAATACAAAAGTATGTATGAAAAGTTTCATGAAAGGAAGAAAATTAAGAGCAAAAGTTAAAAAAAAGAAAAATATTAAAAAAAAATAATGAAAAAATAATTAAGATGACTAGATTTCAATGTGAAAAATTTCTACAACTAAAAAGTATGAAATGCACCCAATTCACAATTTCTAATTTTATATAAATGATTCTACTAAAATTGGGGGAAAAAATTCTAACATGATTTTTTTTTTATACTTTGTTATTAATTAAATTTTTGAAAATTTTTTTTTCTTTGAAATGATAATGATTTCTTTTTTGTTTTTTATTTTAAATTATTAATTGATTTTTTTCATTATTTATAAATGTGGTTTTTTACTATTTTAAATGGGCCGTACACAAAATGATGGAATCTGATATTATATTTGCGTATTTTTTTTATTTATTTTGACTGAAAATATACAAACAATATTTTTATGTTTTCTTTGTAATAAAAATATTAAAATGAAATTTATACCAAAAAAAAAATATAATAATAAAATAAAATATATGTAGATATATATATATTTTATACATACAGGTATATGTATATATATTTTAAATAAATAATAATTATAATTTTAATGAAATAATATGATAAAACGTTGAAATATATGCACTTATGTGTGTGTAAATTTTTGATTTTTTGTATAAAACATATATAAAATGTACCTACATGTCTATGACAAAATGTAGTAGTGAAAATGGCCGTAAAGAAATTGGTTGAAGAATAAAGAAAAAAAAATTAAATAATATACAATAAAAGATTAAATTTATTTTTATTTGATGAAAATATTATGAAAATGTTTTTTATTTGAAATTTTTTTAAAAAATATTTAAGAAAATTAAGAGGGTGGTTGTATGTTTGTATTGTATATGTTATAAAAAATGTATCTTGAGTAAATTTTTTAATTTTTATTAGTATTTTCAATGAGATATTATCAATGGGTTAATTGTCAAGTTTTTGATTTCTAACTATAAAAATATTGAAAAATTTTTCAAATTGACATGTAATTTTTATTGAAATCGATAAATCAACTACTGGTATTTTGAAGTTGAATCATATAATGTCAGCGATTTTAATTGACAAGTCTAAAACGTCAAATTAATTATTCACCGAATAAATTTTTATTAAATATTTGTTAAAATAAGGTAAAAATTGAGATTTGTTTAGACATCAGACGTTATTCATACGTTATTGTATCCCAATTTGATGTTAACAATTGCTCGAATTACTGGCAAAATTGTAAATTTGCTTATAATATTTAAGAATTTGTTACGAGTATGTCAAAAAACTTTGTAAGAAACACAAATCAATAATAAAACTTGATGATTAAGCAAATTTAGTTTTTACATTTTCCATAATTTTTTTTAAATTTCAGGACAGCATTAGCTAACATATAGAGTGTTATACGTGAGAAATTTTAACGTTTCTATGCATATAAATTCTATTTTACGCTTAATATATTTGAAATCCGGAATGAATTCGTTAAAATTATTTCGGAAATAATAGTTACAAAGTCGAATTAAAAAAAAAAAGATTAACAATCGCATTTGATATACGAAAAACTATTTTTGTTTTATAATGATGAAGTCCTTTTGCATTGTATATTATTGTGTTTCGATTTCAAATTGATTGTAGAATAGTACTGAACAAATAAATTCTTTATAAAATTTTTATTTCTTAAGAAATTATTATAGCATTATTAAATCCATTAATAACCATTCAATTAATAATAATTTTTATTAAATAATTAGTTAAAATTTTTGTGTTCTTATTGATTTTGAAAATGAAATGTTATAAATTTGAAAAAAAAAATTCATATTTTATAATTAGGTGAATGTTTATAATTTATAATTTTATGATTTGAATTTATAAATTTTATCTAAATAAATTAAAATAATATGCTCTTCAATATTATTCTACTGCTATATTATATTATATTAATCAATAAGGTTTGCGAATTAATTAATTTTCAATTAAAAAATTATTTAACAAAAAAAATAGATTTTTTTAAATTGTTTTCTATATATAATATGGTGCAATAACGCAATGTACAAGTGAATTTTAAATAAATTTTTGTATATATGTATAGTTACATTAAAATGCATGTTTCTATTAAGGATAAATTCAAAAATTATATGTCATTTTGTTTTTAATATTTTTACGATCCGATTATTGAGGTTTGCGTTTGAGTCTTCATGTTAGTAGCATGGGCTTGATATGGGTGACCAGGTTGTCCTCTTTTACTATTACTACTGCGATTTCATTAAATAAATATAGTAATTTCCCATTAATTTCCATTCACCAGAGTTTTCTCAGTTTCAATTGTCACAATTTCCGTAACATGCGCTTATACACAATTTAAGTATACCATTATTGATATTTACAATTTTTAACTATGATAAATATCTTAATAATAATTTTTCGTACAATTAATTGGTTACTGATCGTCAAGAAGAAACAGAATTGTCGATATTAACAGCGTGTATGACACTACCTACTAACCTTAATAACGACTTTAACGAAAATGATTGTTTTGGCAGAGAAATTAAAACCACGGTTACGCAAAAAAATTTTAATTTTTTTTCCACTCTAAACAAATTTTTCTCAAGTAATGTACGATTTATAGAAATTTTTGAATTTATCCATATTTAGCACTAGCGAAATAAATTTATAAAACGAAAATTTAAAGTAAATCTTTAAAAGTGTTTTCATTATAATTAATTAAGAATTCAATTTAATAAAATTTATTAAGAAAATCATTGAACTTCCATAATCTTTAACTATGTTTATATAAAATAAAATAATCTTCAACTATATTTAATAAAATTGAATTTAAGAAAAATAATAAAAAAGGGTTTTAAAATATGTATTCGGCCATATTTAATATTTTCATAATTTTTCAACCTAGAAAACCCCTAGATACCCTAAATATTTCGTAAAAACCTTTGTTTATAAATATAAAAATTAAGAAAATTAATTTTAATATTCTCAACTGGTTTTCCTCTATTGTTTTAGTGAATTATCAAAAAAAATAAATTAAAAAAAATATATATAAAATATTTAAATTTTAAACGCATAAAAAAATATAAAAAAAATATAATTAAGGTTAAGTAATAGAAAGAGACGTATGATAACATTTTTCTTTATATAATTATTATAAGTATTCGTAAAAAATATTTTTAAAACGTATATAAAAGAACTTCAATATCTTATATTATATAAATTAAAAAATCAAATAAAATAAAAATATATTTAAATATTTATATATATTAATAATCATATATAGCCTCAAAATACCATAATTCCGTCATTAAATGTTTGGCCCATACCTAATGTACCTCGATTTGTCTTCTTCTTCACCAGTACCTGCCGGTTCAGCACCAGCGTTCTCTGCTCCTTCTTCATGACCTTTTCCTAATCCAGGAATGTGAACAGGAATTGATGGCATTGATGGCATCGCTGGCATTGATGGCATTGCTGGCATTGATGGCATAGCTGGCATTGCAGGCATAGATGGAATTGATGCAGAGGCACTACCTAACCAACCCTTAACATTAGAGAACATACCACCACTGAAAAATATAAATTATATTAGATTGTATGTATAAAACAATATAGAAATAAATTATATTTAATTTGTAATAATAAATCTTGATCTTACTAAAAAAGTCAAATAAAGCCAAAGAAGCTCATTATAATTGCATACTTTTAGGAGAATAATAATTCTACGAAATTCAAATAAAATAATGATATAAGTGTTACAGGGACTCATATAGATGAATTAGGTTAAAATTTGAATAGTATGCCACTCTTTTTGCCTTCAAAATGAAAAACGATTTATTGCCGCAAAATTTAAGAAGATGTCTGAATTATGTTGAGGAAGCAATGGAATATAATATAAGGTCATCCAGTAAGATGTTTCGATTGCCATTACTTAGAAGAAATAACACACAGAATAATTTCTTTTGGAAAGGTGTTCAAGTGTTTAATAACCTACCACTAGAAATTAGAAACAAAACAAGCTTGAATCATTTTAAAAATTGTCTCGTAAAACTTTCATTGCATATTGAAATCTAGTATTCTAATTTGCTATTGAATTTTTTGTTGAATTTATTCTGAATTTTTAATTTTATTTCTTTGAAATCTTTTTTATCACCAATATTCTTAAAAAGTAAAAATAGTATTCATACCAATAAATATTGTTATAAAAAATAATTTTAAACTTTTAAAAATTTACTAAAATTTTACTTTAAATTATTAAATTTTAAAAAAAATTCATTCTTAAGAGATCAAAATTGTAGAATTTTCTTAGAATAAAAATTTAAAATTAGTTTCCTACTCTTTGCTCAGCTGTCATAAATATAGATGTACAGATACGATAATTTCTCAGGTGAATTATATATTTTATATTAAAATAAAATCAATAGGGTTTAAAGAAAAATGAATGATGAACGAAAAATGCTTGTAATTCATTATATATATACATATATATTCCTCAACCTTCACCCCCCTTCTCTTCGATTTAGTCTTGTATTTCATTTTGATATATATTAATCAATCTTCATCATCGTCATCTCAAGAAAAATTCAAAGAATGAAAAACATATCCTTTATAATACAAATCAAATCTCTTGGACCCAAAATATACATAATATATAAAACAATATACATGATATATATAAAATATTTATGAATTTATGTATAACATTTGTGTGTAGAACGAGTACATTATTTCAACTGTTTAAGCTTATAATGTGAAAATATCATTTCTGCATAATACCTTCGAGTATAAAGAAAACGAAAAGAGCCCGAAAAACTTAAATCGCTGGGATTACCAAATGATAAATTTAAAAAAAATAAATTGAATCGAAGTGCTAAAAATGAAAACCTCAATATTTCGGTAAAAATGGTAGATAAAAAAATAGTTTTACTTTGAAAATTAATTTTGGGTGCCGAAACATTACGGCATAGACGAAAATGAAAAACCTGATAATTTCGCCCGGAAGGGCTTTGGGGTGCCAAGAACAACTATCCTGCACGCTCTGAATTTTTGGAAGGAACGAGGAAGCGTCAATCATTCTAGGTGGGCATAAGAATCACAAGAGATCCTATGCATCAAAGCGAGAAGGGCCTGATGACGTTTTCCTTTAAAAGGTGTTTCTAAAACATAAACGACACGAAATGACTTACTTCGACTATATCAACATTTCAAACATAAATCAACCAACCAATTCATAGTAAAAGTTCATATACTGCAAAAAAATGAGAAACAACCACCCTCTGAGGTATACAATTATTTCCCCTTAAATGCAATATAAAAGAATAAAAAATTTTATTACTTTTTTTTTGAAAAGATATTTTTAAACTTTAAATTGGAACTTTCAGCGCAGATAATTTGAAACATTTTTCGAATTTATTAATTATTAAGCTAAACAATGGTAAGTTTGTTGAAGTATACATATAAATTTAAAAAAAGAAAAGAACACGTAAATGAAAAATAAAATTCTAAAGAAATAAAGTTTTTAATTGACAAACTAAAAGTAGAACACAATTAAGATTAAATGTGAGTTTGCTACAAATTGAAAGTAAAATTTAAAAAAAAAAAGAAGTACAAAATATTTTGGAGGGTACGAGTACTTGCACGAATAACTTTTAAACATTTTTATTATATCAGTTGATTTTTTTGCTCTCAGTTTTTTTATGCTCTTGTTTTTCACACGTGATTACAGCCTTGTTAATGTCAGCGCTAAATCTACTGAATTTGATTTGTTATGTCTTCGTAAGTCGTTTTATTTCAATGTGATAAAAAATGGTTTGTTCATTTCGCAATAAAATTTGAAAAAAAATAATTACAGCCGGAAAGTTGTTTAATGCAATAGTGCATATCTCACTTACTAATTCTAACCCCACTTGATTTTCTAATATTTCATCCTACCGAGTTTTAATGGATCAACCAAACGATGGTGTAACAATTTTTAATTTTATTCAAAGAGTTTGATTTGAAATAAAAATTTTCAGTCAATCTCAGGATATTTTTAATTTCATTCGTTTGTCAGTTTTCACGATATTTTGATGGAAAAGTTCGTTTAATATGAAAGGTTGAATTTGTAAAAAAAATTCTTCCTTAAACAAAAAAAATTTTTAATCTTTTTAATTCCATTGGGTTTCTATTTTATGATGCAAATTTAATTTGTCTGGAAAATATTAATAAAACAAATATTACCAATACCAAATATTTTATGAAAGTTTTATAATTTATTAACTCTCAAGTAATGAATTTTTCTTTAAGCTATATATAAAAACAAAGAGGGAAGCAAAACAAAGTCGTCGTATCCCATTAGGATTTAAAAACAAATATTTTAACGAAAATTAATTTTGTATACATATATATACAACTATGCATATATATATTTAACTGTGTACTTTATGGACATTGTACGTTTATTCTTTATAAATTTATTCATATTATTTAAAATAAAATTTTCAATTAAATATTTTATTAAGAATTTTATGTGAATTGGGTTTATAAAAAATCTCATTTAAAATTCTAATTATTTTAATTATTTTATAGATTTGTATATTTGTATATGCAACTTAAAATGATAATTTTCAGTGAAGTCTTCAAACACTTTAGTAATCAAAATAAATAAAGTGAATAAATCATTTGAAAGGCTTCAAAAATTAAATACTGAAATTTTTTTGATTTGAAAAATAAATATCTTTCTTATATATAATTTTGGTAAACTTTTGGCAACTTAGTGTAAATAAATAAAAATTTCATTTTAATTAAATTGGGCAGTCAAATTTTATTGATATTCAAAAGTATAAGAAACATAAGTTATTTTAGCTTTGATTATTTAATGGTTTTTTTGTTTCCGGTTAATTTTTGTCTACGTCGGGTCGGCCGTTGTTTATGAGCTTGTTCAATACAATGGAAAACATGATAATTAAGTAGTTTTGTAAATTATGACTATAGAATACGTTGAAAATATATTAAATGAGATGAGACTTTTGCGGATGATATTATACTTTATTCGGCACGCAATATAGTGAAAGAAATTTAAAATAGAGTTCAGAAAATGTTTAAGCTAACAAGAAATTATGGATAGACTTTAAAGACTAGTTTTAATTAATGCGAAACAGTTTTATTTTGGAACATTGATCTTAAATAAATCGAACTAATTTTTTGGAAAATAAAAAGGTCGTAAAATATCTAGGTGTCCATTTACACAGAAACTTAAGCTAAATAGAATATGTAAGGAAAATATTAGAAAAAGGTAACAAGACATTCACAGCATCAAAGCGCTTATATTACATCAAGGATATTACAAGCAGGGTAAAGATAATTTTATATCTGGCGCTTATTAGATAACTGATAAAATATGTCATAGAATTTGGTATAATATTAGTATAAGTTAAATGGAACAATTAGATGCGATTTTTATAGATTATTTTAGATTTAAATATGTGTTATATGGCGTTATTCAATTTTTATAGACGTTGCAAGTGGTCATTGGGCATCATCAAATTTTAAATAAATAAAAAAATGTTTTTTTATTATTTTTGCCCTAAATTAAAAATAGCTTTGATTTATATGAAGCAAAAGAAAATTTAAAAAAAAAAAAATTTTCCTTATTCGAAGAAATGAAAAAAAAATTCTTTTTTTACCATCTTTTATTATTTTAAATTATTCCAAGGATCTCTACAAGAACTTGAACATATTACTTGAGAGATTTTGTGTTATTATTGAAAATTTTATATCTAGGTAAACATGTATATTTTCTTTTAAATGTTCGGGTTTGTTTATTGATTTGGGAACATTTTTTAAGTTTTGTTTTCTAATTATAAATTTTGGAACACAAAAAAAAAAATAAAAAATTTACAATTCACAATAAAAATTTAAAATTTGCGAAATGACAATAATAACATTATAGTTTGAAAGAAAATTTAAAAAAAAAAAGAGTGAATTCCATTACAAGGCGCAAAAACGAAGGAGATTCATCAACATTTGCTTTCTGTTTGTTTAAAACTTTTTACATTCTTATGTCCTATATACTTTGCATGTTTAATGTATGCACTCTTCAATCACGTTTCTATAGTTTTTTTTTGCCATATCCTTGAACATGATTCTTTATTTGAAGGAATTATGGTTTTATAAACGGAACATATTTATTAGAACATTTTTTATATTTTATAATATTTTGCGCTTTAAATAAATTTTTTAGAAATACTGCTTAAAGTGCCAACGGATGTTTCCTTAAACCATTAACAATTTTTTTGAATAATATACCATCATACTCATATTAATTTGGCTATATTGCGAAGTGATGTTTATGACTAAATTATTTTCGCAATATTTCCTTTCTGAACACAAATATACACTCTGTATATTGTGATATGTCGTGTTTATGAAAGGGCCTATAATTATTTATGTAATTTGAACTAATTAACTATGGAATTCGATTATTATGTTTCGTTTGTTTTAGTATTTGTCTCAACCTAAAAGTATGCAATAATTACGATGAATTTTAGTACATATATTAATTAAAATACATACATATGTATGTAATTGA